CATGTACTGATCAGACATCTTTTGACATTCGACCGGCCGGTCTATCTTGAAAACTTTGACTCAACTATAGCTCTGATACCACTAAATATAACCCCCTCGGACCGATGCGGGTAACCCGATCCGATCTGGAGTGTCATATTAGGGCCACCGGAGCGACCAACTATAAAAATAGCAAAAAATTTAAAACTTTTATTAAAACATATAACTTATAAAATGATTTATCAGTATATAGAAATAAAACAGATTTTCAGGCTCATATATAAAACAAAATACAATTACATTCCCCTAATCACATGTACCAACAATGCCAAAAGAACTTCTTTTTTGATGTCATTAGCTGCACTGATACAATTCTTTTAACCTGCAATAGTGAGTAATAGAGCGAGCTTCAGAAAGCTCAGTAATATAGAACTACCAGATGATACTGAAGAACGTGTAGATACAAATAAACATATATTTCCTTATCGGTTCAAACATCTACATATCTTTATACTGAGCGGAGATCCTACTGATATTTCAAGGGTAACAGACAATGAGCTTTCAGTTCAGATAAGCATTTCGAATGACTAAGTTCAGGAGATCAGAATAGGTTATCTAGTGTGTTCCTGTAAAATCAGTGAAAAGATACATATCTTTTAAAACAGTAGCAGTTTAAAACATATTTACCCTGTGCACAAAGTAGAGGAGCATGCAAAAATGATAAGTTTTTATCCTTGCATATAGAAAAAGAGCCTGGGGAAACTGTAAGGCTTACCCTTGAACACAACAAAGGAACCTGGGGAAACTGTAAGGCTTTCCCTTGCACACAGCAAAGGGACCTGGGGAAACTTTAAGGCTTACCCTTGCACACAGGAAAGGGACCTGGGGGAAACTGTAAGGCTTACCCTTGCACACAACAAAGGGTCCTGGGGGAAACTGTAAGGCTTACCCTTACTCACAACAAAGGAACCTGTAAAGCTTACCCTTGCACACAGCAAAGGGACCTGGGGGAAACTGTAAAATAATATGGAAACTACGCACGGGGAAGAGGGTTTATATTTTCTCCTAAAGAAAAATGGTTAAACTATGAGTTTAGCCACTGAATTTCCTGTACTTTATAAAACGGTCTGCCAACTATGAAATTTTTCAATTTAATCCTCAATTTTCTTCCAAAATACCAAATTAAATCCAATACTTTATAATTCTAAAATTTAGCCCATAAATTGGGGTGTTATAGAGTGGGCCATAACGCCAATGGCCCAAACCAGGGGGCCAATATTTGTTACCCACCACATGTTTGCTTCACTCATATCTTCAACAACTCTTGTTCTTCCTATAAAATAACTTCAAAATCTCCCACAACTTTTCAAGCTCAACAAAAACTTTGGTTTCAGGTTCTTCTTCCGCTCTTATTAATCCGATTTCTGAGTTCACCGCGAAGGCGTTAATGGGAGAAAGCTCGTTCTCAATGAGGAGCAAGAAGGGTCATTCCCGTCAAAGGTGCTTGAAGCACATTAGAGTGCAAAGGGCAAGGCTCTAAATAATATGGAGATATACTGTGTTTCTCCTGTGTTGGAATGATTAACTCCGGGGTCTTAGATCTTCTCGTGTTCGATCTGTAATCTAATTTGAATAGGTTGAGTAATGTATATAGTTGAAGTGTGCACTTTTTTTCTTTCTTTCTTTTTTCTTGGGTATTATAGGAGGATGATAATGAGAAATCTAATGAAAGATGAGATTTTGTTTGATTGAAGACTGATTCTTGTATTTTACATTATTTATAGAAGAAAAAGATGATAACATGTTTCTAACATTCGTTCATTGAAAGTAGGATGTAAAATCAGGTAATCGTTTAGGTTTCGATCGGATCTTGTCAGGTCAGGTCAAATTGGATACAAGTCATGTCAGGTTAATTTTATGGTTCGACTCGGATCAGGTTGGGTCCGAGTCAAATCAGTTTAGGTCATATTCAGGTTGACTTGACATCAGATTTAGTTCGAGTTTGGATAAGGTTAATTTCAATTCGGATTGACGTCAGTTCAGGTCAAAATGATTAATGTCCAAAGCAGTTAATTCAGGTTTGGATGAACTTCAGGCGGATCTCGTTCAAATCGGGTCAAATCATTGACAGACAAAATTCAGATCGTATCTTACCGGGTATGGATTGAGTTCAAGTCGGGTTATTTTTGGGTTAATTATTTTTCTTCTTTCATAAACGACGAATTATAATTTGTAATTGTATATGATTTGGAGTAAATAACAAAAAAAAAATAATTATATGTCAATTTTAATAAAAATATAATTTTAAGAGCTAAATTGAACAAACATGAAATTACAAACTATAATTTAAATGAATTAAACAGCACGCATGGATGAGGGATCAAATCGAAATAACTATAAAATGTTAAGTTGAAATTAATATAAAAATGGACAAAACTAAATCCATTTAAAAAGTTGGTGAAAAAAGTTTAAGGGTTTGGAGATTATGATATAATTTATAGACTTTGAAATGAAGTTTATTATTTGATTTATTGGAATTATAAAATATAAATAAGTATGGGTCAATTTCATTTACAAATACAATTTTAAGGACAAAATTGAACAAATATGAAATTACAAGTTAAGATTTAAATAAATTAAACAACACATAGGAATCAAATCGAAATAATTATAAAATGTGAAGCTAAAATTAATATAAAAATGGACTGAATTACTTTCATTTAAAAAGTTGAGGAACAAAAGTTTATAAAGTTTCAGATTTTATAATATAATTTGAAGGATTTAATTGATTAAACAAGAAATTACAAACTATAATTTAAATAAATTAAACAACATACAAGGATCAAATTGAAACAATTATAATATATATACATACATATATATATATAGAATGAATGTTATGATACATCATACATGTATACATAATGTACATTACATTATAAAAATATAATGTATGATGAATTATATGAATTGAATTGCATTCATTTCAAAAGTTGAAGAAAAAAATTGAAACAATTATAATATATATTAATATATATATTATATAATAATATAATATGTATGATGAATACATTATGATAAAAGATGCATGTATATATATCATAATGTATATTATATTTATGCATACAATATAAATATATACCTAAATAAGTATATAATATAAGTATACATTATACTTATAATAAAAGTATAAATATTAATATATATATATATATATATATAGTATAGAGTATAAGTATATAAATTATATGGTATAAATATATAAACTATAAACTATAAACTATAAACTATAAACTATATATATATATATATATTATAAACTATATAGTGTATGAACTGTAAAATATATATATTACTTATATATATATTTATCTACGTACATCATACATATATACTAATGTATATACTTATACATACATATATATATATATACATACATACATACATATATATATATATATATATATATATATATATATAGAAAGTATATCATTAAACATAAGTGACTAAAATAAAATATTTTAAAATTAACATGGACATTTAATAATTATGAAAGAAGGAAAAATTAAAAGTAATTAGAATGTATACAGGTCTAAATTGCATTAATTAAAAATTTTGCTTATTTACAATTAAACCATGACTAAAATGAAAATAAATCAAAAATTAAATAACAAAATAAAAAATGCTGATTGTTAGAGGATTGAGGACCTAATTAACCCAAACCATTTCATTGGCATTAAAACCTTCCCTAAAAAATTTCAGAATTATAAAATCAAATTGCCAAAATTCCTTCAAAAAATTCAGAATTACAAAATCAAATTGCTAAAATTCTCTCAAAAATGTTACCACCACTAAATCTGTTAATTATAAAATCAAAATTTGCCAATTACCACCTTTAAATTCCTATTACTTATGTGAATATTTTTTTGATTAAACTCATGTGAATATATATAATTATACCGTTTATTTTAAACCGATATTTAAATTTTAAAATTTTAATTTTCAATCTCAAATAAATTCATCTTTTATATATATTTTAAAATTTTAAATTAAATTATATTTAAATTATTAATTAATTATTACATAAAAAGTAAATCAAACTTATAAATATTTAAATTAATTTTATATAATCTAATAAAATCATATTCAATAAATAAATTATTTAATTAAATTAATTTAATGATTATAATTAAGATTATAATATAAGGATTATAACCAATATAGAAAGTAAATTTATTAATTTAATTATCATGACTGACAAATTGTTTTAACTTTTAAAAATATCATATTAATTATCATTTATTATAAATTCAAAATAAAAAAATTCATCAAAATCTTATAAGTACCTCAATTATAACTTTTAAGTAATATAGTTTATTATAAATTCAAAATTTCACAACTTCATTACTTATAACTTATAAATCAGGTAAACATCAAGTCAAGTAAAAATCAAATCAATTCAATAACAAGTCAGATCATTTACATGTTGAGTCAATTACATGTCAGGTTCATAACAATTCAGGTTGATAATAGGTCGGGTAATGCCAGTTATTTACCAGGTTAATCTCGCGTTCAAGTTAATTTCAATCGGATGCAGGTCGGGTTCGATTATCATATTATCGGTTTAATTCGGGTTCATGTCATTCTCAGATCGGGTGCAGGTTGGATTCAGATACATAATTTCCAGGTCTAACTAAGGTTCAAGTAAACACCAGTTCGGACTCGAGTCGGTTTCGGATCTCCACTTCTAAGATCACAAACAGTTTTGACTCGAATCGGTTTCAGTCAGTTTTACAGGTCGGGTCATCTTTTTACATCCCTACTCGAAAGGAATTCATACAATGGGAAAAACACCAAATCACAAAACAAAAAGGAATTTAAAAGGAAATTATCCTACGAAAACACCATTCTTATCATACCAAAACAAAATATGCCCTGATTTTTCTTTCTTTTAATTAGACATGCATGATTTTCGAACTTTGAACTACATGCACAAGCTGCAATATAACCAACCTAATCTGAGAATTTACAATCCACGGAAAGGAGAGTAAGCTGCACGAATTCAGTTATGCTTTGCGTAAGATCATTCGATGCTGACTGGAGATCTCCCTGTTTGTGAATCATCGCCGACAGATTTCTTTGTCATTTTCCCTTGCTTGCTTTGAACAACCTGAAGGATCAGTGGGAAAGAGAGAGTAAATCGATTAATTAACGGAGGCCTTTAATCAAACATCAGTACATAGCTGTAAACAGAGAGTGGGTCATGATACTAGTGAAACATTCTGTAGGTCTTTGTAAGTCCAGAAAGATAATGTTGACGAAAACGGGTAAAGAAAACGAAAGAACACGAGAATTTTACGAGGTTCGGCAATGTGCTTACGTCCTCGGTGCCTAGGCGGCGCTAGAATTTTATTCAATGATATTTTAGGTCTAGGTTACATCTCTATTTATAATAGAAAACCCTGGTACATAATTACAAAATCAACCCTGTACCGTACCACGGGGGCTACGCCCCCGCACCCCCAACCCACATAATTTGTAACCCCACAACGAGACTTTCTTTGTAAGGACAGTTGATGTTCGCCGCGTTCACTCCGCTCCATCTCTTGTCCTCTTTACTGGTATATTTATGAGCCATACCTAACAAATCTCCACCTTGGCGAATATCCTGTCCCTTGGAAACTTTAATGTGGGTTGGGTTACCTTGCTTCTTTAACAACTCGAAACATTCAACAAGTCCAAGCAATGCTTGAACTTGTCTGTCGTAACTGGCTTGGTGAACATATCAGTGGCATTCTCATCAGTATGTACCTTCTGAAACAAAACCTCTCCAGATGCAACCAACTCTCTGATCTTGTAGAACCTTACATCAATATGTTTAGTTCTAGCACGATACACCTGATTCTTAGCCAATTGAATAGCACTTTGATTATCACAAAGCAACTGAACTCCACCTTGTTGAACACCCAACTCCTTCACTAAACCAGTAAGCCATAAAGCTTCTTTTGCAGCTTCAGCCGCTGCCATGTATTCAGCTTCAGTTGTAGATAGTGCCACGACAGATTGAACAGTAGACTTCCAACAAATAGGCCCTCCACCAAGAGTAAACACATACCCTGTCGTAGATCTTCTATTATCCAAGTCACCTGCATAATCTGAATCCACATATCCTACAACCAAAGGATTATCCCGCTGACTCCCAAAAACAATTCCATGTCCCACAGTACCCTTTAAGTACCGAAAGATCCACTTGACTGCATCCCAATGTTGCTTACCAGGTTTAGACATGTACTTACAAACTTGACTAACAGCATGAGCTAAATCAGGACGAGTACATACCATCGCATACATCAAGCAGCCAACAGCATTAGAATACGGAACCTTTGTCATATTTTTAGCTTCCTTATCTGTCTTAGGGCACTGTTCTGATGAGAGCTTAAAGTGATTCGCCAATGGAGTGCTAACTGGTTTCGCGCTGCTCATCGCAAACCTTTCTAGCATTTTCTCAACATAACCCCGTTGAGATAGCCACAGTTTCCTTGAGTCTCTGTCCCTGCAAATTTCCATTCCAAGAATTTTCTTTGCAGCACCTAAATCTTTCATATCAAATTCCTGACTCAATAAAGTTTTCAAACCGATAACATCATCCATGTTCTTCGCAGCAATCAACATATCATCAACATACAGTAATAGAAAAATAAAAGAACCATCATCAAGGCTCTTAACATAGACACAACAATCATACTCACATCGGTTGTAGCCAATCTTGATCATATAGGAGTCAAACCGTTTATACCACTGTCTCGGAGACTGTTTTAACCCGTACAAAGATTTCTTCAATCTGCAAACTAAATGCTCATTTCCAGGTTGAGTAAAACCTTCAGGTTGCCGCATGTAGATCTGCTCCTCTAAATCACCATGCAAAAAAGCAGTTTTAACATCCATCTGCTCTAAATGCAAATCCCAACTAGCCACCAATGCAAGTACTGCTCGGATTGAAGTGTGCCTGACCACAGGAGAAAAGATTTCATCATAATCAACTCCTTTCTGCTGTGAAAAACCCTTTGCTACCAAACGAGCCTTGAACTTCTCCCCCTCTTTTTCTGTTACTGCTGGTTTCTTCTTATACACCGATTTGCAACCAATCGGCTTCTTACCCTCAGGAAGGGGAACTAACTCCCATGTGCGATTGTGATTCAAAGACTCCATCTCCTCAACCATGGCTGCCATCCACTTGTCGTTTTCCTGACTAGTAACGGCATCATGAAAGGTAACTGGATCATCACTGCTAACAGTAAGTGCAAAAGATACCAAGTCTTCAAAACCCAATCTGTTCGGAGGCTTTATATTCGTCCGTCTCACCCTGTCTCTGGCGAGACTATAATCCTGCAAATCATCCGTAGTGGAACCACCAGAAGTCGGTTGAGAAGTTTCTGGTTTCTCAACTGGAAACTGCTCGAAATCTACCACTGTTGTGTCTTGCTTCTGCTGCAACATAGACTGTTCATCAAAAACGACATCTCTACTAATCACAACTTTCTTCGCAACTGGATCCCAGAACTTGAATCCTTTGACACCTTTCTTGTAACCCAGAAAAATGCACTCCTTCGATTTTGCATCAAGTTTGGATCTCTCATCAGCAGGTACATGCACATAAGCAGGACAACCAAAAATCCGTAAGTTATCAAAACTAACATCATGACCAGTCCATACCTCTTCTGCAACTTTCCCAGCCAGCGATGCTCTTGGCGATTTGTTGATAAGGTAACACGCCATGTTAACAGCCTCAGCCCAGAAGTGTTTGGGAAGCCCCGCATTCAACCGCAAACATCTGGCTCTTTCATTCAACGACCTGTTCATTCGTTCCGCAACACCATTCTGTTGTGGTGTCTTGCGCACTGTAAAATGCCTCTGAATCCCATGCTCCTTACAGAATTGTAGGAACTGTGAATCTGTGTACTCCGTACCATTGTCAGACCGCAAACACTTGATTTTTCGTCCTGTTTGGTTTTCTACCTCAGCTTTCCACAGCTTGAACTTCTCAAAAACTTCAGATTTCTGTTTCAAAAATACACCCAAACTTTCCGTGAAAAATCATCAATAAAAGTAACATAGTACCTAGATCCACCCAAATACGATGTCGTGGAAGGCCCCCATACATCAGAATACACATAATCAAGAATCCCTTGAGTTGTGTGCTTCGCAGTCTTGAAACGGACTTTAGTCTGTTTACCAAGAACACAATACTTGCAAAAATCGAGCTTACAACTTTTGACACCATGCAACAAGTTTCTCTTGTGTAATTCTGCCATACCACGTTCACTAAGATGAGCAAGGCGCATATGCCACAAGTTTGTCGTATCATCACAGGACTCAACAGAGTGAACTCCACCTGCAACGGTACTCCCTAACAATCTGTAGATATTCCCTGCAGTCATCTTGCCTTTCATCACAGTCAATGCTCCTTTAACAATCCGAATGGTTTCCCTATCCTCGTCAGCCTTAGGGATAAAACCATTCTTGTGCAAAGTGCCCAAGGAAATCAAATTCTTCTTCAAGTCTGGGATATGTCGAACACCACTCAACGTCCGAACGGAGCCATCGTGCATCTTAATTCTGACATCACCAATACCAACAATATTGCAACATCGATCATCACCCAAATAAACCGAACCAGAATTAACCGGCTTGTATGTCAAAAACCATTCCCTATTTGGCGTGATGTGATAAGAACATCCAGAATCAAGAATCCAAGCATCTGTCAATTGTGTCGTTGAAATAGAAAGCATATCACCCTCACTGCAATCAGAAGTATCATCCTCGACCACGTTCACAGACTTGGATGAGCCATCACGCTTCTCATCAGTCTGCTTTTTCAACTTCGGACAGTCTCGCTTCATATGTCCCGCCTCCTTGCACTTGTAACAGTGAATCGTCTTCTTATCCCTGGATTTGGATCTGGAATTCCGCTTCCCGGACCCTACCTTCTCTGGCTTCCGTCCACGATCTCGATTACCCTTGACATATAAGCTATCGGCTTGAGAGCTTTCCCCTGCATTCTGCTTCCGCTGGTTGTGAGCCAACAAGGCTGCAGTAATCTCCTCAACGTTGATAGTCTCTTTCCCATATGTAAGAGTAGTCACCATGTGTTCGTAAGAGGAAGGCAACGAACACAACAGAATCATCGCTCTGTCTTCATCCTCAATTTTCACATCAAGCCGAGCCAGATCAGAAACGATTTGATTGAAGACATTCACGTGTTGCGCCAAATCGTGATCGTCCTGCATCTTCAGCCCATACAGCCGCTGCTTCAGATACAGTTTTGTCGTTAAGGATTTGGACATAAACTGACTTTCCAACTTCCTCCAAATTTCATCTGGAGACGATAGATGCATGACGTGATACATGACCTCGTCCGCCAAGTATAATCGTATGGTTCCTGCCGCTCGCTGCTGCAATTCTTCCCAATCTTCCTCATCCATCGACGCCGGTTTTATAGGTCGCAAAGCCTTCAAGATCCCTTGCTGCGCCAATAGATCATTCACCCTCGTTTGCCATAATCCGAAGTTACCCTGACCATCGAATTTCGCGACTTCGAATTTTGCTCCTGACATCTGATACCAATTGTTGACGAAAACGGGTAAAGAAAACGAAAGAACACGAGAATTTTACGAGGTTCGGCAATGTTCTTACGCCCTCGGTGCCTAGGCGGCGCTAGAATTTTATTCAATGATATTTTAGGTCTAGGTTACATCTCTATTTATAATAGAAAACCCTGGTACATAATTACAAAATCAACCCTGTACCGTACCGCGGGGGCTACGCCCCCGCACCCCCAACCCACATAATTTGTAACCCCACAACGAGACTTTCTTTGTAAGGACAGTTGATGTTCGCTGCGTTCACTCCGCTCCATCTCTTGTCCTCTTTACTGGTATATTTATGAGCCATACCTAACAGATAACTACAATGTCTTCGATGGGACAAAGTATCATGTTAATCAATTTCCTGTCTGTGAGGCCTATGTCTACACATGCACTTCCCAATAGGAAGGTTTAGTGAAATCTGATACAAAAGGTGTGTGAGATTGCATATATAGAGGATGCCCAAAAGTTTTCTTTCTATGCCGTATATAATCATGGAAACTGTTTAATTTATCACCTAGGCCAACTAGGAGAAGCACCAAATTGTTCCGGTTTTAGTTCCTTGCTTCGCTCATGGACTAAAGATGAAAGCAAGAGAAACATGATATTAAGAAGCAAACATTGTTTACTTACTGAAGGCTTGTGACCAATCAATCTACGACTGGATGGAGCACGTGCAACTGATGAAGCAGCTGCAGCAGCAGCCACTCGTATCCTTTAAAAGGGGGAAAGGATTATCTCATGTTCGATGAAGTAATTAGACAAACTGAAAGAGAAGAAAAGGAAAAGATATGAAATCAAAACATCATTGCACCTTTTATGGACATCAATATATACATCAGTATCATCAACAATTTCCTCCTACAATGTAGTAGAAAGGGTTCAGTAAGTACCACCTATCCAGTTTGCATAATGCATTTAAAGAGAAACAAAATGAAAATTCCATGATAAAACACGTTTTCAGAAAATTAGAAGAAACCACCGACCATCGTAAAATGAAGTTAGAATATTAAGACTGTAACACCCCTACCCGTACTCGACCCGAATACGGGTCTGAGGTGTCACATTGACTTTTTAAACTTTAACTCGTAAAGAAAATCAATGAAAATTTAAACTTTCATTACAATAAAAGTTGTTGACTTACAAAAAATTTGACCAGGACAATAAAAAATTTATCAGAGCATTCATAACTAACACATTTCTTACATGCCAACACACTGTATACGAAAAAATACATACTTTATCAGTTACTTCTGATATGATCTTCTAGTAGTAATGTTGTCCTTTCCACTACTATTTCTGCTCTTCTTGATTCTTGGTACCTATGTGTAACTCACTTACACGCTAAGTCACAGACTTAGCGAGTCATAAAATAAACATATAGCAATAATATCATGACATACACTACTATCAATCCATTAGGACATTGCAATGCACATGTAGATACCACACTATGACATATAAGTATGAAATGCATGAATGAATAATTTTGTCTCATAAGAATTTCCTTTAGTTTATCTTTGAATGCCTATGTACATTATTGAGAACAGAAGGTACGGAAGTACATTGAGGTTGTGCACGAATGCTATCACCACAACTCGAATAAATTCCCACTAGGGGCACTGATTATTTGTCCCAAAGGAACACTATGTCCCGAAGGACCATTATGTCCCGAAGGACCACTATGTCCCGAATGACCACTGATAATCCCTCGACTCTTGGCATGCCAATTATACCTACATCTCTCACATTAAGTAACATGGGCTTAATTATAATAAAATTCTCATTTTCATATCTCTTGTATCACTTTTCACATAATACATAATTCACTTCATATGAGTACACATAATCATTTTCATTATTTCCCATACCTGAATGGATTTTCATATCAACGCATTCATTCATACAAGTTCATATTAAAGCATGAATGAATTATACATAAAATCACTATAACATTAATACACATATAAATATGCATGTGCATGAATATGAAATTATAAGTTTAACTATAAGAGATAGACTCATCGCAAGTCTTATCTCAATACAATTTCATCTAGGATATGCACTCACCTTAGTCTTGTTTTGACTCGATTCTAATCCATCGATTGTTCCGGAACATGATTACGCTCTAAATCTACATAGTAATACATTGATACATATCAATATACTAATTGATATATTCTAAACTATCACTTCTTAGACTAAAATAAAGGCTATTTTCATCTCTTAATGAAGGTATGTATCGATGCACTCTACAGTGTATCGGTGCATCCCTTAACGTGTGCATCGATGCACTATCCATGCATCGATGCACTATCCATGCATCGGTACACAAATCACATTCGATGTTTTCATCTTAAGGGGGTGCATCGATGCACTAATTACATTCGATGTTTATTTATTTGAGAGTGCATCAGTACACATTGAAGATGTACCGATGTACACAACCCAAAAATTCCACTCTCTTTTCAATCCAACTCTTTATATTTCACCTTCTTTAATATCCCTAACTTGCATACATATACTTACACTCATTACCACTCAATAATCACTTCTTTAAACCCAAATTCCTATCCTTTATATGGCATTCAGAAATCATACTCAATTTCCAACATGTTCTAATTCCCATTCTAACACTTCCTATTCCTTAATTCCACTAATGACAAGTTAAATTTAGTCTTGAAATCTAATTAATACCTTTCTATCAAGATTTCACTTATTCACCTCCTTACTTTAATCATTCCTAATTCCATCATCTTGTTGTTTTAAAACAAATTAAGCTTTTCTTAAGCTTAATTAACATCTAATGATCAAAATTAAACTTAAATTTCAGCTAATAATTTCTCATGAGAAAACTCATCTTTGTTTTGAGCCTTCACGTGAGGAGAAAGAAGAGAAGAAGAGAACTCTGGAACCTTGCGTTTTACTTCCTTCACCTCCACGTGTAGCTAATATATATATTCATTCTTTAATTATTTTCCTTGCAAATGACCATTCTATCCTTCTATTCCTCATTCTTTTCAATTTGATCATACACCACATTTCATATAAGTCCTTAAACTATTCAATTATTTAAGTACTAAATTCCATAACTTTATAATTTAGTCACTAACCTGATATTGAGGATGTTACAAATCTCCCCCTTAAGAAAATTCTTCCTCGAATTTTCATTACGCAAAGAGATGGGGGTATTGAATCCTCATGTCTTCTTCAGGCTCCCATGTTGCTTCTTCTACCTTATGATTCCTCCTCAAGACTTTAACCAATGGTATAGTCTTGTTCCTCAATTGCTTAATCTTATGAGCTAAGATTTGAAGCAGTTTCTCTTCATAAGTTAAATTCGGTTGAACCTCTACTTCTTCTGGAGTTAGAATATGGGAGGGATCAGATCGATATTTCCTAAGTATTGAGACATGAAAGACATCATGAATTTTCTCCATTTCAGGTGGCAACGCCAGATGATATGTTCCTGGTCTAATTCTCTTTACGATCTTATAGGGTCCAATGAACCGAGGACTCACATTTCCTTTCCGGCCAAACCTCAAAATTTTCTTCCATGAAAATACTTTTAAAAAAACTTTATCTCTAACTTAAAACTCAATTTCTTTTCTTTTTAGGTCTGCATAGGATTTTTGTCTGTCTGCTACAGCTTTGAGATTATTTTGGATCATATGCACTTTTATTTCCACTTCCTGAATCAATTGAGGACCAAGAACTTCTCGATCCTTAAGCTCATATCAATTCAAAGGTGTACAACATTTCCTCCCATACAAAGCCTCATAGGGAGCCATTTTAATACTTGATTGATAACTATTATTGTACGCGAATTTAGCAAGTGGCAAATACTTTTCCTAAGATCCCTTGAATTCTATAACACAGGCTCTTAGTATATCCTCCAGAATTTGGATGGTTCGCTCAGACTGTCCATCTGTCTGAGTATGGAATGCTGTACTGAAGTTCAGTCGAGTGCTTAATGCTCCATGCAAGGTCTTTCAGAATCTCGAAGTAAATCGAGGGTCCTGATCAGAAACTATGGAAACAGGCACTCCATGCAGTCTAATGATCTCTCTCATATATAACTCAGCGTATTTATCCATGGAGAAATCAGTCCGCACTGGAATAAAATGAGCTGACTTGGTCAATATATCTACGATCACCTAGATTGAATCTTTTTTGTTCGGAGTTAAAGGCAATCCCGTTACAAAATCCATTGTTACATTCTCCCATTTCCATTGAGGAATCGACATTGGTTGCAATAATCATGACAGAATCTGATGCTCTGTTTTGACTTGCTGACACGTCAAACATTTAGATACGAATTCCGTAATGTCCCTCTTTATTCCAGGCCACCAATATCGACTCTTGAGACCCATATACATTTTTTCCTCCAGGATGCATGGTCAATGGACTACAGTGAGCTTCCGTTAATAAATCATTCTTTAACTCATTATCATCTGGAATCACTAGCCTTCCTTGATAATATAGATTCCCATCAGCTTTCACCTCGTAATCCATTAACTCTCCATTCCTTATCTGCTGTAGCTTCTTTAAACACTTTTCATCTCCAGCTTGCAATTCTTTAATTCGATCTAGCCATGATGGCTTGAGAGTCAATTTAGCACAGATAACACCATCTCCATTTAATGATAGTCTGGCATCCAAAGCTCGTAAGGCTGTAAACGTCTTTCGGCTTAAGGTATCCGCTACCACATTTACTTTCCCCGGATGGAAATCGATCACTACATCATAATCTTTCAAGAATTCCACCCATCTCCTCTGTCTTAAATTTAGCTCATTCTGAGTCATCAAATATTTCAAACTCTTATGGTCTGTATACATGTAGCATCGTTCACCATACAAGTAGTGACGCCAGATCTTAAGAGCGAACACTACTGCAGCCATCTCTAGATCGTGCGTTGAATAGTTCTTTTCGTGTAGTTTTAATTGTCTTGATGCATAAGCCATCACTTTACCCTCTTGCATCAATACACATCCCAAACCGTTATGAGACGCATCACTATACACTATGAAGTTCTTGTCAGACTCGGGTTAAACCAACACTGAAGCTTCTGTTAAAATCTTCTTTAACCTTTCAAAACTCTATTGACACTCCAAAGCCCACACGAATTTTATCTCCTTCCTCAATAATTTAATTAGGGGTAATGCTATTATCGAAAAATTATGGACGAACCTTCGGTAATAACCAGGTAACCCCAGAAAACTCCGAACTTCTGATACATTCTTTGGAACTTCCCACTATAAAATGGATTTAATCTTTTGGGGATCCACTCGAATTCCTTCTGCAGAAATCACATGTCCATGGAATGTCACTTTCTTCAACCAGAATTCACATTTGGAGAGTTTGGCATAAAGCTTGTTTTCTCTCAAAATCTGTAGAACAATCTTCAAATGTGAATTATGCTCTTCTTCCGACTTTGAATACACTAAAATATCATCGATGAACACCACTACGAATCGATCCAAATAGGGTTGAAATATTTTGTTCATAAGATCCATAAAAGTAGTCGGTGCATTCGTAACTCCAAATGGCATCACGATAAACTCATATTGCCCATATCTCGTTCTGAATGCCGTCTTTGGAATATCTTTATCTTGAATATTCAATTGATGGTAACCAGAACGTAAATCAATCTTCAAAAACACTGAAGCTCCTTTTAACTGATCAAATAAATCATTAATTCGGGGGAGGGGATACTTGTTATTGATGGTCACTTTATTGAGTTGCCTATAATCAATGCAAAGACGCATGAATCCATCATTCTTTTTAACGAACAAAACTGGAGCTCCCCATGGCGAGACACTTGGTCTGATAAACCCTTTGTCCAATAATTCTTGCAAGTGGATCTTTAATTATTGTAACTCTTTTGGGGCCATTCTGTATGGTGCCATGGCAATAAGTGTAGTTCCCGGCATTACTTCAATATGAAATTCTACCTCTCTGTCTGGAGGCAAACCATGTAACTCTGCAGGAAATACGTTAGGAAACTCTCTGACTATAGGAATTTCTTCAATTCCCTTCTCTTTAGTTCTAACATCCAGCACACTAGCAATAAACCTATGACATCCCTATAGCAATAACTTCTTTTCCGACATCACTGATATTACATTAGCCAATGAGTTCTATCCTTCACTAAATACAATGACTTTTATACCTTTTGGACTTCTCAATGTTACTCTTTTCAATCTACAATCAGCATTAGCATAGTAACGATATAACCAGTCCATTCCTAGTGTCACCTTAAATTCATCAAAAGGTAATTCTATCAGATTAGCAGGGAATTCAATTCCCTGAATCCGTATGGGACACCCTCGACACATCATATTGACTTGAGCACTGTGCCCTAATGGATTAGTCACTATAACTTTACTGCTAGTAGCTTCTAACGGAATATTTAATTCTCTCACTAACTTACTACAAATGTAAGAATACATAGACCCTGAATCAATCAATACAAAAATATTCTTGTCATACAACTGAAAAATACATGCTATAATCTCTGGGTCATCACGATCCTCATTGGTTTTAAGATTATACACTCGAGCTGTAGAACGTATTTCTTGTGGAGCCGTAGACTCTGACTGACTTCTTCCTCTACCTCTACCTCTTCCCCTATGAGTAACAGAAGAAGACCTCTCTGGCTGAGCAAATTCACCAACTATCATAGGACAATCCTGAACAAAATGCCCGGTGTCCCCACATTTAAAACAGGCTCCCGAAACTAGTCTACATATCCCTGAGTGATTCTTTCCACAATGTGGATATTGTTTGACTTGACTCGAGTTAGATCTCCCAGCTCTAGACCCAACTGACTGTGTTTGTCATCCCCTTATCATATTTGATCCCCTCGTGGAGGATACCACTAACTCTGATCTCGCTTGGGGTCGAGAACCACCATCTCTGCCCCTTTTTGATGGTGCAACACTCGATGATGCACCGATCTTTTTGATGTCTGATCTCTGAAATCTCTAAACCTCTCATTCTGAGCTCTCTCTAAAGCTTTGGAACAGTTAATCACTTCTTGAAATGAGGATAAGTTCAACACAATAAGCATCTTTTTCAACCGAGGACGCAATCCCTCTACAAACCAGTTACAAGCATCCTTCTCTGTAGGAATTAACTCAGCAGCAAAGCGACTTAACTTGTTGAATTCACATTCGTACTCATACACTGTACGGTTCCATTGCTTCAGATTCATGAACCATTGCTTCATCTGTCAGATAAATTGATCTTCGATGTATTTATGCTTAAATTCTTCTAAGAACAAGGACCAAGTTACTTGATCACCAGACATTCTCAACGTAACATTGGTCCACCAAATCCTCGCTTGCCCACTAAGCAAGGAAACCACTCCATCTAACTTTTCTGAGTCGGAGCAATAAAGTCCCTCAAGCATGATTTTCACGTCATTAAGCCAAAGGCCCGCAGTAACAGAACCTTCTTCGGCTTCACTTCTGAACTCTGGTGCTCTTAAACCCTTTAACTCTTTTACAATATTCGTTGTTGGAGTTGAAGTAGCAGGAGGTTGGATACGCGCCAATACAACGTCCAACGTCCTGAAGAACGTTTCTTGATCACTCGCAGGCACTCCAGAAGGTGCTTGTTCTTCACCTTTCCTGGCCAGGGCAGGTGAATTACTACTTTCAGTGGGCCTGTCATCTCTCGCTTCACTTTTAGAACTACCGTGTCTAGACATCTATAAAAATATAACCATATCGTTCTATTAGCAAAACAACATACTTACTATTATATCAGATCAAAAATTTTCACTATTTCGTTGGTATGTATACTTTATGAGACACTCTATACTCAGTTTATGCCGAGAATCAACTAAACCGTAGCTCTGATACCATTAAATTTAACACCCCTACCCGTACCCGACCTGAATACGGGTCTGAGTTGTCACATTGACTTTTCAAACTTTGACTCTTAAAGAAAATCAATGAAAATTTAAACTTTCATTACAATAAAAGTTGTTGACTTACAAAAAATTTAACCAGGACAATATAAAATTTATCAGAGCTTTCGTAACTAACACATTTCTTACATGCCAACACATTGTATACGACAAAATACATACTTTACCAGTTACTTCTGATATGATCTTCTAGTAGTAATGCTATCATTACCACTCCTATTTCTGCTCTTCTTATTTCTTGGTACCTATGTGTAAATAACCTACACGCTAAGTCACAGACTTAGTGAGTTATAAAATAAACATATAACAATAATATCATGACATACACTACTATCAATCCATTAGGACATTGCAATGAACATGTAGATACCACACTATGACATATAAGTATGAAATGCATGAATGAATAATTTTGTCTCATAAGAATTTCCTTGAGTTTATCTTTGAATACCCATGTACATTATTGAGAACAGAAGGTACGCGAGTACATTGAGGTTGTGCACGAATGCTATCACCACAACTCGAATAAATTCCAACTAGGGGCACTGATTATTTGTCCCGAATGACCACTATGTCCCAAAGGACCACTATGTCTCGAAGGTCCACTACGTCCCAAATGACCACTGATAATCCCTCGACTCTTGGCATGCCAATTATACGTACAGCTCTCACATTAAATAACATGGGCTTAATTATAATAAAATTCTCATTTTCATATCTCTTTTATCACTTTTCACATAATACATAATTCACTTCATATGAATACACATAATCATTTTCATTATTTCCAATACCTGAATGGATTCTCATATCATGGCATTCATTCATATAAGTTCATACTAAAGCATGAATGAATTATGCATAAAATCACTATAACATTAATACATATATAAATATGCATGTGAATGAATATGAAATTATAAGTTTAAGTATAAGAGATAGACTCATCGCAAGTCTTATCTCAATACAATTTCATCTAGGATATGCACTCACCTTAGCCTTGTTTTGACTCGATTCTAATCCTTCGATTGTTCCGGAACATGATTACATTATAAATCTACATAGTAATACATTGATACATATCAATATACTAATTGATATATTCGAAACTATCACTTCTTACACTAAAATAAAGGATATTTTCATCTCTTAATGAAGGTATGTATCGATGCACTCTACAGTGTATCGATGCATCCCTTAACGTGTGCATCGATGCACTATCCATGTATCGGTACACAAATCACATTCGATGTTTTCATCTTAAGGGGGTGCATCGATGCACTAATTGCATTCGATGTTTATTTATTTGAGAGTGCATCGGTACACATTGAAGATGTACCGATGCACACAACCCATAAATTCCAGTTTAAGCACGAAATTCACTCTCTTTTCAACCCAACTCTTTATATTTCACCTTATTTAATATCCCTAACTTGCATACATATACTTACACTCATTACCACTCAATAATCACTTCTTTAAACCCAATTTCCTATCCTTTATATGGCATTCAGAAATCATACTCAATTTCCAACATGTTCTAATTCCCATTCTAACACTTCCTATTCCTTAATTCCACTAATGACAAGTTAAATTTAGTCTTGAAATCTAATTAATACCTTTCTATCAAGATTTCACTTATTCACCTCCTTACTTTAATCCTTCCTAATGCCATCATCTTGTTGTTTTAAAACAAATTAAGCTTTCCTTAAGATTAATTAGCATCTAATGATCAAAATTAAACTTAAATTTCAGCTAATAATCATCTCATGAGAAAACTCACCTTTGCTTTGAGCCTTCACGTGAGGAGAAAGAAGAGAAGAAGAGAACTCTGGAACCTTGTGTTTTACTTCCTTCACCTCCACATGTAGCTAATATATATATCCATTCTTTAGTTATTTTCCTTGCAAATGACCATTCTATCCTTCTATTCATCATTCTTTTCAATTTGATCCTACACCACATTTCTTATAAGTCCTTGAACTATTCAATTATTATACTTTAAGTACCAAATTCCATAACTTTACAATTTAGTCACTAACCCGCTATTGAGGATGTTACAAAGATGGGTGAACAAATGAATTTAGTTATAAGAATTAGTGATAGACAAATGAAACTGACAAAAACATCACATACTTGGAGAAGTTCTTCGAAAACATCTTCTAGGGTAATAATACCAATGACTTCCCCATCCTCGGTATCCTCTGAAAACTGTTGCAATGTACCGGATGTGACACCATTAGGAAAATGAGTTCTCTTGACTGTGATAGGCCTGGATTTCTCAATATCAATAACACTATGTGGTTTACTGTCATATTTGGTCAGTAAAGGGGTTGTTTGTTGAGAATCCCCATTAGTAAATCTACGCTCGTCAAATTTCTCCCTATTATCAAGGAATTGAGGGTCTGTGGTCTTTCTTTTAACCTTCAATACAGTTGCCAAATGACTGCTTCTCTTTTGAAATTTATTGAGGATATCATACAAAGGCATATGTGATAGAACCCTGACGTATTAATGCATGACAAGTCATGCTTTCTTCATATATAGAGAAACGTAAAAAGTAATGGGAGTACATGTATACACCTAGGAATTTTACGGATAGAAACAATACTAACTGGTGTCTCGGTCTCCAGCCGTACCGTGAGAAGAATTTTCACCTAAATCTCATTGAAAAGGAAATTTTGTAAGAATTTTTTTGAAGGAAAATTTAATTCAATGTTGAACTGCCGACCATTAACAATAGGCTTTCAACATAAAGAAACCCATTGGAGAGCCAATAGGTAACTGAACACACCAGTAACAACCTGATGATATTTTTCGAATTCCCAGCATAGACAGGGATACGACTATGACCACATGCAAGAATTTTTCCAATCGATTCCCTAAGCCAAAGGCAAATAAATCGATTTATGACCCAGCTTCAATACTAATGTAGAATGAAGCACTTTAATATTTAGGATTTTACCATTAAAAGGGGATGATCATTAAAGTCAATCATGTTCCAATAGTGTCATGCTAAAAGAAGGAGAAGGGAAGGCATTATTAAAGCAAAAAGGAAGTATGATCCACATCAGGATAGGGTACTTAACCTATGAATATAACTATAATGTTTCAAATTCCGGAATGAACTAGGAAATCTGTCCACCTATCAGTCAGATGAAAATTCATTTTCCATATAAACTCTTGTAAAACTTCTGACATGCATAGTTTGCATCTGACCACGATAAGATACAAATTAAATTTCAACCTTTTTCTTATATATACAGATACTAAAGTTCTCAGTTTTTTACTCTCATATTTCCCCCAGAATATCAAAGCAAAAATGATGTGTTAACAACAGAAAGAAGAACACCATCCAACTGAAACTAACCAATCCAATTTTGAACTGACATCCAAGGAAAATGTTGATTCAATGGGTGTCATAGCCTCCTCTGCAGTCTGCATGTACAAGAAGCATTATGATTGCAACTGTTTTATAAGAGATTGGCATTGAACTCTTATCAGCTTCTGAAGTCTGAACTATATCAAAGTATGAAATTAAAAATGAAACTAATAGATTTCAAAAAGTCCAAGCATTGTACAATGGAAGAGAAATAGAGGAAACATCTTTATGTCCCTTAGATGGCCATCAAAACCTTGTAGAGTACAACCTAACCATTTTGGCTCTATAGTAGAGGGATGTGTTCACTATCCAATTAAAAGATCTAATTCCATTTGACAACTAGAACTGGTTAGATTTAGTGTTTGTATGTTTATCAAGCTGTGTTTGCATAGATAAGATCAAGATTTAAGTATGCTTGTTCATTGTGTATTTTCAAATAAAAATAACCATCTTACACAATATGAAACATCAGAAATAGACAGATGTAAAGAGACAAAGTCATTTTTACTCATAAAATGCTATTCCAATAACAACATTTACCTTTTCAGTTAAATCCAGTGCACCACTAATGATGGTTGCCTCATCATGTGTTAGTTCACCACCTTTTCCAGCCTATTAAGGACACAAATGACAAGTCGGTGTGGTAAAATGGTAGGGAGTATAATATATGTACGAGTTATGATTGAGGTGAAGTTTGAAAAAGTTAATTTGAATTCAAAATCTTGTAGGAATTTTCTGATTATTCAAAAGATTTCTAGAGAAACTCCCCTTCCCACTAAGTAAGTTATTAGTAAATGAGGTCATAGATATTTGGATTAGTAAGAATCAAGGAAATAAAAGGTAAATAATAATAAGATCAATTGGAAATTATTAAATTTGGAAAAGTAATGTTGAGAAGTAATTGCAAGGTCGTAGAGAATAGTTAAAAATGATTCCAAAGTAGTACAGAAATAAAGCAAGTGTGTTTTGTTCAAGGTAAGAGAAACTTATTTTCGAGAAATAAATAAGGAGCTAGGAATGGTTAATTGATAAAAAGTTTAGTTTAAATATAATTTTTTGAACTGGATTAGAAGATCCGTCAGAAATTGTGCAAATTGAAGTAGAAGAAGTATTTTAAATGGTTAGGTAAGTATCTGAATCTAGTCCTTGATGAATCAAGTGGAGAAAATGTAAGTATGAGAAAAGATAAAGAATAAGGTTCTGTGCAAATAGTGTTGACTATCAAAGTTATGAAGGTGCAATAAAAATCGATAATCAGTTATGAGTATAAGTGATATGATGAGGCTTCTCATACTGATATGAGAAGAGTAACTGAGCATGAAGAAAAAGGAGTTGACCTATGTTGCAAGGAGGTTTCGATTTATGAAGGAATAAAGAGTTAAAGATTTAAGTGACTGAGTTTAAATGATCATGTATGACAAGGGCTATAATGAGGTGTAGATTATAAGTTTGGCATGGAAGTAAGCAATTTTCAATTCTTAGTGGAAATGAGAAAGAGTTGTTATGAACTTTGTACCAGGTTTGCTTTGGAGAAAAAAGTTGGACGTTTATGAAGAGATTGATTAAGTTAGCACCTTTCATTTTAGCAAGGTGAATATTCTATGGATAAGTACGTGTGGTTATATAAAAAGATTGTTCGATTTCATGAAGTATATTTCTCAATTATATTTGATGGAGATTTAAAGTTTCTTTAAAGTTTTGGAAGTCTTTGAAAAAGGTCTTGGGAATTCGATTTAACTGTAGCATTTCTATCCATGCATAGACAGATAGTTAGTTTAAGCATATTATTTAGGTCTAGAAAGTTATGTTAAAGGTGAGTGTGATGAAGTTTAAAAGATTGAAAGAAAAATTTCATGATAAGTTAATAAAGTGTTATGTGGATTTCTCTAAGGTTGTGTTTCTTGACCATGTAGTCGTAGTCAAATAAATAAGGATTTATATATATATTATGGAAGCTTGAGATATAGTTGAATGATTATATTTCCTCTGATCAAGTTGTTAAGGATAGCCATGTTACTTTTGGACTATTCAGTACCTAGAAAATTATGAGATGATAAAAAGAATATTGACATTAGCTTCAAGGTTAGTATAAGTATAATTTGGAAAAGATTATGTTTATCATAATTAGGATGAGAATTTATGCAAGAGTAAAGGTTTTGGTTTATGTTACAAAGAAATTAGAGAATGATGGAAGAAATCAACTGACTAACGATCTTGAGTTGGCAATGCTTGGGGTTATTGTATTAATAGAACACCATTATCTACATGGTGAATGACATTATATCTATACAGATTTCCAAAAGTCAAAAGTAGGTGTAGAATCGAATGAGTGAAAAGACAGGAGATGAATTGAATTCCTTGGAGATTGAGGATATGCTTTTATACTACAAGTATGAAAGATTATTGTGGTGACTGTTATAACAATTCTGGTAGATTTTTATAATTTGAAAGTTCTGAATATGCATTTGTTTTTAAAGATAGATAGTGTTTTGATTGTATAATTAAATGAAAGCCTTTGTTGCTGGATCGATTTAAGGATCTTAAGAGAAAGATGAAAATTTCATACTGGTTAAATATAGAATAAGTAGGTAAAAGGGAGAACTGAAGACTTAAAGTCAGATGAATGTTTATATGTCACGAAAAGAGTTATTATTGAGTTTGTTTTAAAATGAGTGGTATGTCAGCAAGTTTAAGAAAGATATGAAGATAGTTTTAAGTGAATTTTGTGTATAAGAAAATGTTGGACATTATTAAGCTGGTTTGAATTGAAAGATCGAGACTTAGTGCGGCCAGATTGGATCAAAGAAGTTGAAGAAAAAGTGAAGATTAATTAAGATAATCTTAAGATAGTTGATGTTCGACAAAAGTCCTACATGGATTTAAAGAGAAAGAAAAATGAATTACAAATAGATGATAAAGTGTTTCTCAAAGTCTCGTTTCAGAATAAGATTCTCTGTTTTTGGATGCAAAGTATGGTTCAATCCTAGATTCATTTTACCTTATGAGATCTTAAAAAGAGTTGAACAATTAGTTTATCAGGGAGCGTTGCTACCAGAATGGAAAAGATTCAAAATGTTTTTCATGTTTCGATACTTCGATACTCAAGAGATATTGATTAGATCATTCTCACATCATAGCATCAGAAGAAATATAAGTTCAATCTGACCTGACTTATAAAGAAGAAATAGTAAAAAGTTTAGTATATGAAGTTAAATTACTAAGAAATTAGATGATTTCGTTAATAAGAGTGCTTTGGATGATCACAAGTGGAAGAGGTAACATGAAAGTGTGAAGAGGATATAAAGAGAATAGTTCCTTATCTTTCTCTACAGTGAAAATTTGAGGACAAATTTTCTTAAGGGGAGGAGAATTGTAATACCCCAAACATTGGGTCAGTGACTAAAGTATAAGGATTTAAAAGTTAGTGGTAATATTTGGATAAATTGAAAAGTTTAAGGACTAATTTTGGAAAATATTGTCTAGGAATTTTTTTCAAAGGTTGAAGGATTGAAGGGAAAAGTGATCTTTTGATAAGAAATGAATTTAAAATTCATTTTAAGGTTTATTTAACATGCGTGGATTAGAAAAAGGGAAAGAAATATCTGGAACTCTTCTCTTCTTCTTTTCTCGACCGAGACACACCATGGCTAAGGTAAGTGATTTTAAAGTGGATTGTTTCTTTCGTTTTTGAGTTGGTTCTTAGTTGTTTGGTGATATGAAAGCTTAAGAAAGCTTAAAGATAACTAAAAACCATGAAATTTATGAGTTATTGGTGAATTAGTAAAATGGGTTTTTAAGGGAATTTATGAGATTGGGTAGTATTTGGATTTCTAATGATATATTTGACTTGTCAAAGGTGTAATAAAGGTGTTTGAAGGGTTAAAAAGGATTTAAAATGAGTTTGGAAAACTGATATGATTTTTAGTTCAAGAGTTCTATGGAAGAAATTTAGATGAAAAATGGGTTTTAATGGATATAAGTTAGTGGGAATAAGTGTAAATGAGTTTGAAAGCATGAATAGAGTTTAAAGTATGATATTTAAGTGAAGTTAGGTAAATTTCGAAGTGAAATAGATGAATTCTGGTTAAGGGTATCGGTACTGGAAGAACAATATCGATACTATAAGGTTAAAATTGAAGGAAATATTTGAATGCGATGAACAATATCGATACTAATTGAAGTAATATCGATACTGATATGGTGGTATCGATACCATGAGGAAGGCATCGATATTGTAATTAAAAAGGATTTCCAGAATGCTAAAATTGTATCGGTACTATAGAAGAGAAGTATCGGTATTATGGGTAGAGTATCGATACTATGGGTAGAGTATCGATACTATTCAGTCGAAAATGTTAATTAAGTGTTTCATTTCGCTTAAATAAAAGTTAGTGGGTTACATGTTAATTGAGTTTCGGTATTCATATGGGTTGTGTTATGTGTATATTTGATTGAAAGTAAATGCGGAACGAAGGGACGTACCAAGATAGAGTGAAAGAAAAAAGGAGTTGTTTAAGGGTTAAGTGAGTCAAAGGTGAGTGCATTCTTACTTACTTTGTATAAAATTGGAGGACGACTTGTGATGAGCCAACCTCATATATTTATGAACTAAATGAATTGTATTATCTGATGGTTTTTATCTAAATAATATTTTAAAAGTACTATTCGATTTCATTATTAGGAATATATATATTTTTTATGTGAATATATTATATGAGAACAGCTGATAAGTTTAATAATGTTATAGGAAATAATATAAGTTCTATGTGAGGAAATGATAAGTTGAGTAAATTGAAATGATATGCTATAAATAATTGTTCTATGTGAATAAATAATAAATTTAGGTAATGCAATGTGAAATAAATTAGTATATTTATAGGTGAAAATGTTATACGTGAAAAGTGTTATAAGTGAAAAAGGATCTACGTGAATATGATATATGTAAATGTGTTCTATGTGCTAAGCGAAAACAATCTAAGTGAAAGTGCCCTATGTGAATGTACTCTATTAGAATAAGACACGCTTTGAATAATAAAATGAGATATAATTATATGGTTAAAGCCCAAAGTATATTTTATGAGAATTAGGGATATAGTTGGCATGCCAAGAGTCGAGGGTTCTACGTGGTCCTTTGGGACAAATCTATGTGGTCATTCGGGAAAAATCTATGTGGTTCTTAGGAACAAATCTATGTTGTCCTTCAGGAAAAATTCTACGCGGTCCTTCGGGACAATTCTACGTGGCACTTCGATGCAATTTATATGAGCAGTGGTGACTGCATTACTGCACAACCTCAATGTACTCATATACCTTGAGTTCTCAGCGATATACGATGGGCTAATAAAACACGATATAATTTGAACAATGAGTAACAATATAGAATGTTAATGAAGTTTTTATTTGTAGTACCCCAAATAGCAGGTCAGAGACTTATTGAAAAGATTTGAAAATTTAAAGATTTATTAAATAAGTGGTAAAAGATGAGGAAATGATTTGAAATAGTGTTTAAACTAATTTGTAGCAATATGTAATTTAAGAGGGCACTTTGGTCTTTTAAGAGGTAAATGAATTTTTAATATATTCCATATTAGGTATTTTAAAAGGGGGAAAAA